TTTTTTATCAGTTAAAAAATTTTCATCCATGTTAGAAGCTTACCTGTCACCCCTCCAATATGTTTCAGTTTCCAAAACAATCTCTTATGTGGAACTCTGTTGAAAGCCTTTTTTAGGTCCAGAGAGATGCAGCCAACCCAACCCCTAACTTTCTGCAAAATGGCTATCCATAATGCATTTGTGTTTTACAAGAACTACAGCACTGATACCAAGAAAATGACATTGCTCCAGTTTCATGAATCAGGAATTTGGTCACTACAGTACTGAAGTTTGACAGTAACGAGTAGCCTCTCCAAGATAACACCATGGCACATGATCCTGATGTACATGATGATGCCAGTACATCTAATGCCACAAATGTTGCCACACCCGAACCATCAGGTGTGAGCTGGTGGTGTGTCTATTTCTTTCGACACCTCAAGCTGAAGGTTCCTAATCTGACTCAGAACAAGAGATGGCTCTGATTACCCCTTCTGGTCCTCTTCATCCTGCTAAGAGAAACCCCTCGTATTGTGGATACACAAGATCGTCTCGATAAGCAATTGAACCATGTCCTGATTACCATGGAAAAAAGTCTAAAGTGTCGTGTTTGCTTCAAGTCAGGAAAAAGGAAGGACACTAATTATGAGTGCAAATCGTGTAGAGTTGCACTGTGTGCTGCACCATGCTACATAACATACCATCGCAAGAGGATATTCTGGGTGGATAAGCAGTAATGCTTACCACCTATCCACTCCACCTACAAAACATGTGTTGAGCAACTTCAGGAATCTTTTCCTGAAGCAGGTGGAGTGGTTCAACAGAATGTTCAACTTATGTTCTACCAACATCATTGCATCGGTAAGAACAGACACTTTTGTTTCAAGTTTTAATAAATATATTAGGGTTTATACGTTATGTTATATAAATATGAATATAAGGCCAATTTGAAGAAAAACATTGCCAATACTAATATTTCCCTTCAGAGCATTCTAATATGAAGAATTTGATACTAGAATGAACAACGTAACACAAAAATTTATCGTAGCAAACAGAAAAGTTATACACTTGTCTGTATGGATTTTGCGGGTGTGCCAATGGGTGTACGCTAACGAATAATGCTTTGGCGACTCCCCACGTTGTTGCAGGTGGGGCGTGCCCATGTTTTGGACTTTATATGCATATGTCCCTGTAGGGAATTTTATTGCAAACACAGTGATACCAAAATGAACGATGTAGAACAAGAATTGAGGTGAGAAAACTGAAAAGACTATACACATTTTATCGCCGTTTCGTGCTCACTGCTAACGATCGCCATATTTGCTTGGTGCGGGTCTCACGCCGGCCTTTTGGACATTATATGCATATATCCCTTTAAAGCATTCCATTGCGAACAAATTGATACCAAAATGAAAGACGTACAACGAAAATTAAGGCGAGAACTCTGAAAAGAGTACTGTATACACATTTCAGTATCGCCGCACGCTCACCCAAAACGCCAGGAGCATGAGGGGAAAGTTTGGCTGGCTAACGCCCGGAGTGCAAAAGTGTTAAAATTGAGTTATAAATTGTACTTCCACACTCAATAATCTAAATCATATGGGGCAAACCTTCCTATTCTAGTTAAATTTCCTACCAAGAATGTCTCAAAATTAATAAATTCACTATTTTTTTAACACCCCTAGCTATCCCCTTTGCTTATCACTCTCATTTTCATTATTTACCAACTTATGCACACAGTTTAGCAGTGTATAATGAACGCAAATTCAATTTAGATTACCTGAAGATTTGGGTTACCTAAATTCAGATTACCGAGCTGTTACAGAAAAATGAAACCATGAGTAACGTGACTAGTAACAATTGGGTAGAGATTAACCAGCTTGCTTGGGCTCGCTCTCTCTCACCATCTTTGCCATAATAATGTTGTTATTTTGTATAAGTGATGGACCCAGAAATTTACTTGTAGTAGGGAATAAATCAAAACTTTTTTATAATGAAAGGATACATTTAATTTAATTCACCTCAATAATTTATTAAAACAATGCATAAATGTATCTTATAACACACACTAGTAACTGGGGACATTTGTAAGCATAATTGAACATTTTCAAATTCAAAGCGCTCATTCAGATTATTTGTGAATTGGAAGCGAAATGCATCTATATATGCCCCATAGATACATCACTCACTTGTATCACTTTTACAAAAGCAACAGTGAAAATCAAATTCCTATGGTGTTATGGTATGGTGTTATTCTACTTAAATAAAGTAACATTTGGCAAATTTGTTTCACAAAGCCAAGAGTTATCTTGAGGTTATCTTGAGATGATTTCGGGGCTTCAGTGTCCCTGCGGCCCGGTCTTCGACCAGGCCTCCACCCCCAGGAAGCAGCCCATGACAGCTGACTAACACCAGGTACCTATTTTACTGCTAGGTAACAGGGGCATAGGGTGAAAGAAACTCTGCCCATTGTTTCTCGCCGGCGCCCGAGATCGAACCCGGGACCACAGGATCACAAGTCCAGTGTGCTGTCCGCTCGGCCGACCGGCTCCCGAAGTTCTCAGAAGACAAGAAAGGAAAACACTGTTCTTATCTCAAGAGGAAACTAGATTTATTCCTCCAAGGAGTACCGGACCAACCGGGCTGTGGTGGGTATGTGGGCCTGCGGGCCGTTCCAAGCAACAGCCTGATGGACCAAACTCTCACAAGTCGAGCCTGGCCTCGGGCCGGGCTTGGGGAGTAGAAGAATTCCCAGAACCCCATCAACCAGGTATCAACCAGGTATACCGGCAGCTTAGTTGCAGGCGCAAATTAATGTCTCATGATTTGTAAAATGATCATCTTTATAATAGTGTTTATTATAATAAATTTAACATACACGGGAAACACTACAAATCTTGTTAAATACATTTTGTTTATTTCTAATTATGTACCATTCAATGACTTATTATCTAATGAATATACAAATTAAGCAAAGGTTAATCACTATCATAGTAATTCTTACCTTGTTTCTATTAGAAATCTATATTTTAGTAAGCACAGATGATTGCCACCTTACCCTTCATGTATTTATCCAAATGTTCTGTTCATCCAAATCCAAATAAACTATTTAATTTTCAAATACTAAACTTTACCTGTAGCAATAAAATATAATATTGTGACAATTTAAAATACAATGCAGATGATGAGTCACAATAAAATGGCTTAAAAGATATTAAAACTAAACCACTCACCAGAAGATGAGGAGATGACGATAATGGTCCAGGATGGACCGAAAAGCGTCATCTCATCTTCTGGTGTGTGGTTTTGTTCTTATACAATATAATACTGTACTGTAATATCTTCAGATTTATTTAACACTATGCCAATGACAAAATCTTTCAATTCGGAAATGTATTCTCTCCTATAAACACAGTTCTTGAAGAGCTACATATTTATCACAATAGTATACTGTACTGTGCTTTTAATAATTATTGTAAAAATTGACTTATTAATAGCTTAGCAAACAATTCTTCATATACATACAGTATATTCTTTGGCACAAAATTCTTAATTTAAATTGCCTTTATATTATTCTTAAATTGTTGCTTAAACCATGTAACTGACATGAACGTGCTTCTACATCATTTTCCAAATACAGTAGTGTACTATAAAAAGTCTGTTCACTTTAGTACAAAATACTATTACCTGTACTGTACTACATATGAGCCATCATATGGCGATTAAATATATTTTCATTTGAACACTGATATGCACAGTAAGAACAGGTATATGTCTTCAATGGAATATGAGTGTTTATGTGTCTTTTGAGATTAGCCTTTTTACTGGCATGAAACGGACAATGTGGACAAGCATAAGGCTTCTCGCCAGTATGAGTTCTTATGTGAACCTTAAGATTTTCTTCTTGAATAGCTCTAAAGGGACAAAAAGGACAGGGAAAGGGTCTCTCTCCAGTGTGAGTTCTAATATGTTTCTTCAGATTTGTTGTAATACTGGTGTTGTAGGGGCATGATGGGCACTGGTGCATCTTGTTACTGCTGATTACACCTTTTTCAGCTCTCGAAGGTTGTCTCCAGCTAGTTCTCTGACAGCCACTGTCCACCCCCACCTGTTGAGGATGCCCTGCTTACTCAGTGACACATTTATTACAATACTTGGTGGAAGAAACATTCACTGCATCACAGTCACAATGCAGTAAATATTCCCTTAAATTATGAACATAACAAACTTCCATTTGGTAATAAACAGAATATTACATATTTAATAATACTGTGCTCAAATATGAGGTTAAAATGTTCTCCAGTTTTTATACAACACATTATCAACAGGAGAGAAAAACCAAATGAAAAATTTTAAGGTGTATTTAACAAGACTGTGAACTCTTAAGCTTAACATTACAATTATAATTAAATTATATTAACAATGTAGCAAACATTGTAGCAAACATAATAACTACAAATTCTAATGTCATTTATTGAAGAAATTATACTGAGGAGTAACTGACTTTTTAAACAGGAGCAGCTTATAATAAGTTAAGAAACATTAAATTCAAGCTAGTGATAACCAAGTTTGACCATCATAATTTTCTTAGCATACAGAAAGTACATAATGCCTTGCAATATGTACTTTAATAATGCATGTTGGAAGATACAAACATTCAATGCAACACTGGCAAATTGTAGGATTGAGCACCAATCACCTTTTCAACCAAAGCTTCAAAACAGACGCAACTTCAAAATCACGTGAATCAGCAAGTGTCTATGTGCTAAGATGTGTTGTTTTGATAAAAGCATAGAATGGCGATTGTGGCATTATCTTGAGAGACCCATCTTGCAAAAATCTGTTTGATTTGCATCATTTTCTCATGGCATCCCATCCAAAATGAGTACCAAGAAGCCAACAAGTGCACAGAGATGGGGGGTTGGGAAAGTGTTGCGAGTGATAGTATGCATCCATGTTGGTGTAAGTGTCGGAACTGGAGGTGGGTGTAAGTGTCGGAACTGGAGGTGGGTGTGTCAGGACTAGAGAAGGGTGTAAGTGTCAGGACTGGAGGTGGGTGTGCCGGGACTGGAAGTGAGTGTAAGTGTCTGGAACGGAGGTGGGTGTGTCGGGACTGGAAGTGGGTGTAAGTGTCGGGACTGGAGGTGGGTATAAGTGTCGGGACTGGAGGTGGGTATAAGTGTCGGGACTGGAGGTGGGTATAAGTGTCGGGACTGGAGGAGGGTGTAAGTGTTGGGACTGGAGGAGGGTGTAAGTGTTGGGACTGAAGGAGGACGTAAGTGTCGGGACTGAAGGAGGGCGTAAGTGTCGGGACTGAAGGAGGGCGTAAGTGTCGGGACTGAAGGAGGGCGTAAGTGTCGGGACTGAAGGAGGGCGTAAGTGTCGGGACTGGAGGTGGGTGTGTTGGGACTGGAGGAGGGTGTAAGTGTCGGGACTGGAGGTGGGTATAAGTGTCGGGACTGGAGGTGGGTATAAGTGTCGGGACTGGAGGTGGGTATAAGTGTCGGGACTGGAGGAGGGTGTAAGTGTTGGGACTGGAGGAGGGTGTAAGTGTTGGGACTGAAGGAGGACGTAAGTGTCGGGACTGAAGGAGGGCGTAAGTGTCGGGACTGAAGGAGGGCGTAAGTGTCGGGACTGGAGGTGGGTGTGTCGGGACTGGAGGAGGGTGTAAGTGTCGGGACTGGAGAAGGGTATATGGAGTGGTTATGAATGTTCCTAGTGCACCAAGTGTTGGCAGGTGTCAGAAGTGGTAATGGGTGTTGAGACTGAACATAATTTTGATCAGTCTGGTACTCTGCCATTTATTTAGCCTATGGCGGTATTATCCAGCTAGTTATAAGATAACCCTAATACAAACATGTAGTAAGTTGGTTTATGTAAAGTTCTGGATAATTGGACAAGACTAATAGAAATTCAAGTCCTCACATATACTGTAGTAAAATTCAGTATATACAGCTTAAGCCCTGGGTTGCTCTTGCAATTACAGTATAGCCCAAAACACGCCCAGGCACAATATACAAAAAAAAAAAAATATTGTCTTATAAAAGTGTTCGTTTGTGTTCCTTGATCACGGGAAAAATAATAACAAAATCATAGGTGGTCGCAAAATTTTGGCCGCAATAGGGCAGGGAAGTCTGGAATAAAAAAAAAAAAATGTGTTGACAGAGCAAGCTATTGTTATTGTCTAGAATCACTATAGCAGATTAATGGTTCGCTATGGTGAACACAAATGTAGATACTTATATATAACGTGTGTATAGAGTGTAATAACAGCAAAAAAGACTTTGTTGGTAGGAGTTATTTTGGCGAGGGAGTGAGGGAGGCTCTCGTCTGCTGACTACTATGTGACTTATCATGCAATGGCCACTATGCTCTTTGGACACCATACCAGCTTAGTTGTACAGTTATGGTGAAGGTATGGTTATTGGCTGTGGGTGAAGCGTGCTGCAATTTTGGACATTGTATGCATATACTACTGTAGGGAATTTCAAAAATAAAATGTCATAGATTTAAACTAACTAAACAAAGCTGCCAAAGAAATATAAGAAAATTCACTTTCCCAACAGTATGGTAGACGGTTGGAACAAGTTAGACGAGAAGATGGAGGTCAAAATCAGTCAGTAACTGCATAGTGTTATATGACAGAGTGCTGGGAAGATGGAATACCACAAGCGTAGCTCTCATCCTGTAACTACATTTAGGTAATTACACCTGAAGCAATGAACCCAACCACCAACCCTAGAAAACCTGTGGGTATTGGTCAAAAAAACCTAATCCAGAGCCAACACACCCATAAAGAGATTATGCGATGGAGCTGGAAGGCACCATGTGACCAAACCCGAAAAAAGCCTAAAGAGGAAGCCGGTAGAGTAACAACCAGCGAAGGGCAGCAGGGCCCCCGAACTCGACGGTCGCAGCAGCAATAAACCGGCAGAATTGGAGGAACCAGAATAGAGCCCTGAGACAAACTCGGCCAGTGGGAACACCATACAGGCAAAATTTAAGTTCCCGCACAGCCTCTCAACAAACTACCAAGTCACCCATGGCAGCGGCTCTCTGGACTTAATATAACCCAAATTTACCAATAAACAAGCACCACTGATACTACTACTGCTTCAAAGTGCTTCTGTAAAATCTGTACCAAACAATATGTGGATATTCGTAAAGGCTTTGCTAATTCTTCATGCAGGCCTAGTGATGCTTTCCTTTGACTGGCTCAGAGTATACCGATCGATTCATTTATTTCCCCCTGAAATTTATTTTTCTTCATATTAAAGCTGCATCACTGAATTTCTCACGCAACTGCTGTATGCAATTACGTATACAGTGGAACCTTGAATAACGAATTTAATCCGTTCCGGCGCCGTGATCGTCATGTGAAATGGATGTCATACAAAACGAATGTCTCCATCGACAATGGAAATCAAATTAATCTGTTCTACCACTGAAAAACATCAATATGATATTCGATGTTTTAAATAATGTAGCAGCCTGTCTTACATACACTGAACAAACGTTTATGCCATTTTTTTCTTCAAATTTGTTCAATATTTTTTTCATTTGTTTTATAGCAAAAGGCAGGTAGGCTGCTCCATGTTTCTTAAATAAAAAAAAACGAAAATAAAAAAAAAAATTGAAAACAACAAATGTCAAAAAGGTTCGTTTGGCAGGTAGGCTGTTCCATGTTCCTTAAATAAAAAACAAAACAAAAAATAAAAAACAGTTGAAACAATTTGAAATACAGACAAATGCAATAAAGGTTCTAACTAAACTTGCCGGGTAGGCTGCTCCATTATGACAATCTTTCTTTGTTTCAAATGTGTTCTATTTGTTTTGTATTTTTCATTTACGTCTCAATAATGGAGCAGCCTACCCAACAAACACTGAATGAACCTTTATGGCATTTGTCAGTTTTTCAAATTGTTTTAACTGTTTTTTATATTTTTCGTTTTTTTTATTTAAGAAACATGGAGCAGCCTACCTGCCGAACACCGAACGAACCTTTTTGACATTTCTTCTGTTTTTCAAAAAATTCTATTTTCGTTTTTTTTAAAGAAACACGGAGCAGCCTACCTGACAAACACCGAACGAACCTTTTTGACATTTCTTCTTTCTTTAAAAAAAATTCATTTCGTTTTTCTACAAAAAAGTCAATGCTTTGCAACATCTCAGCATCAATAGCATCTTTAACCCTCAAACCGCGCATATCATATATAAATGATATCAGTGACAAAACCGAAACCGCACACATCATTTATATATGATTTCGTGTCTAGCGCTATAATTTAAACTCCCCGCCTGGGATAGGGGCAGCTATAGTACAGCCACGACCGATAGTTGCCAGATGCCACCTAGAAAAAAAATCCAGGCCAACATTCTTGGGTGTGAGAGCGTCAGTATTGAGCAAGCCACCAAGGCTGGCGCACGCAGCACGAGCTCACAGCACCGCTGTTCAGCTTGTGACCACAGCATCCCCTACAAATACCATAATATATATGATACTGCTATTATTTAGCAGTGAGAGTATTACTAAAGCCCCCTGACTGTGATAAAACTGACCAGGATTCTGATAATAGCAGGATTGTGGTGATATTTAGCGCTGTGCTCCATGGAGGGAGGCATAAGGCTGTGCGAGGGAGGGTTGTGGCGTCGTCTTCTGACTGCGTGTGGCCACCATTTATTGACTGCACTCACCATACCAGCTTAGTGGTTCGATATGGTGAACACAAATGTAGATACTTATATATAACGTGTGTATATAGGTTATAAACAGCAAGAGGAGTAGGTTGGGAGCCGCCATTTTGGTGAGGGCGGTGGCGTCGTCTGCACGACTTATCATGTTGTTTACTGGTGACCACAATAGTCTTTGGGCACCATACCAGCTTATTTGTTCAGGTATGGTGAATAAAACAGGTAGATACTTGTATATAATATGTGTATATAGCGTAATAACACCACAAACAATATTGTTGAAGGACAAATATTAGTGCGTCTGGCCTTGAGGGCGGCCGCCGATCAGCTGACTGTGTGAGTAACTACATTTTTGTGGCCTTTACTCACCATACAAGCTTAGATGTACAGTTATGGTGAACAAAACATGTAAATACGTATATATAACGTCTGTGTATAGTGAATAAATACAGAAAGAGTATTGTAGGACGTGAATGAGGGTGAGTGAGGTGGTGTTGAGGGAGTAAGTGGCTCGCTGGTGTTTGGCGGTCACTCCTCGTTGCTTTTTGACTCACAAGACCAACTTAGTAGTTCATTATGGTGTACAAAACATGCAAATACTTATATATAACCTGTGTATATAGTGTAACAACAGCAAAACTATTTGTTTATTGTTTTATGAACATAATAATTGAATCACTAATATGCACACCATAATTTTGAGTACAGCGATGGTTCACACATTTTATAATATAAATATACCACAATTCACTGTATGGAATAATATTACTGCAAAAAACTAAGAAAAAATCAATCAGAGACATTGAAATAATTAGGTAATAATATATTTGTGGCAACTGCCGTCTGACAGCTCGGGCGGAGTAGACCTCATCTGGCGAAGGCTCTGCCAACGCCCCTTTTTTGCCACACTTCCCTACCCTATTGCGGCTAAAATATGCCACCTACGATTTTTTTGTTATTTTTTCCGTGATCAGGGAACAAAAATGAACACTTCAATAAGACGAAAGAATTTTTTGGAATTTTTTTTTTGTTGCGCCTGTGGGTGTGAATTCCATTTGGGCCCCTAGCGGTTTGAGGGTTAAACAAAAAAAAATAATTTATTTGCATCGTCGGAGGCGTCCGAGAATGTGCGAGAAGCAGCCCGCGACCCCACCATGTGGTATTGACGTTATTCAAACGAGTGGTCGGCAATAGGGGCGTTCGTTACCCAAATTGATCCCCATTTGAGGCGGTCGTCACTCGAGGTTCTACTGTATATTTTTTTACTACCTTAATTAAGGGGTCACTGCCTGCATGGTCTGTTTTATGACTAAGAGTTCCTGGTTGATGGCTTTATACAAGTTATTGCTTGCAGCTCACAGATCACAACAAGGTCATTCTTTAGTGTAAATAGAGATCCCTTTTGAACACATTTCGGAGTATATCGGTAGCTTCACCTTATATTTCAAGGGTGTTGAATAGCCAACATAACTCTTTATGTTAACAGAGTTACTCACTATCTTCAAGTGTACTTTACATATTTCTTTTCTGCCATGATTCCTTGTCTCATATGTATTTATTTCAGTTTGGAGATTTGGAACTAGTCTCTCTACTATTTATCACATGAAGATGAGCACTTTTGCCTGCATTCCACAGAACACAATTTGAAGGATTTAAACCCTAAATAATGTAGGTACAGTGTACTGTATTTTAGTGAATTAAATCTGTCAATCCTCCTCTGCACATCCTCCAAACCAGCAGTTTGTCAGCCTTAAATAAAGCTATTAATATACCAGAAGGTCCTGTTAGGAAGCAGATTCATTCTTCTTATTTTCTAGCTTTTCCTTTCATATGTATTTTGCGTGCTATTATATAAGTCACATTCGTTGAAAGCTTCTGCAAAGTCTGTGAAGAACTTGCAAAGTGGTATTTTATTGCTAAGAATGTAGTAATGAATGCTTTATCATCTGCAGTAGGCGACTTTGTCAGAATTTCCAGTATCTTTAGCATATTGAGGTTGCCATTTTCACAGTTTTAGTAAGTTGAGTGTTTAACAAATCCAATCTTTTTAATAATTTTCTGTCAGCTTGATTAATCTTGCAAAATACAACATGTGTGTCAGCTAGCAACTTTCAAAACTGGGCTAATATATTCCAGCACTGCCTATCATGCGACATATGTGTCTGTGTATATATAGTTGTCACAAGTGACTCCACATGGCAAAATCACTTGTACTACATACAGTACTTCACACTACACTCCATGACGCTTCACATCTAAGTCACTCGTACTTCTTAGAAATAGTCACCGAGACCCAAATAATGTGGCCACCCACACACCTCATTGGTCCCATTCTCAGATCAATTACATTTACCACATGGCACATTACTAATTTCTTATCTCATAAATAGCTATTTCTGCTATTCTTTCATACATTCTTTTATCTTTCACTGCTTGCCTGCCTCTACAAAACAAGTAATCACATTGTATATTTATGGTAAAATGTGTACATCAGCCCTCTCCACATGACCAGCAATACTCACACTATGGAATATCACAAGTGAAGTTTCAATCCACAAACAACTGAAAAAATTGATCTCAACTTGTATATTATTATAGTTCCTGTGGACCTCAAATTTGTTAACTGTCAACTTTTATGCAAATGATGTACACTACTGTATTTGGTTTGTAGCCTCATCAAGGGTGCTAATTATATATTAAATTAATGAAAACCGACATTATTTTGATGTCTAGCATTACCAAGACACACCAATATATAACCATTATAAATATTCTGACTGTAATTTTGAAATCCTTTAAATTTCTATATTATGACAAAGCAAGCAGGGAGACACACGAAGCATCCAATACTATCGTCATGTTGAGTGCATTGCTCTTCACAGCAAAGTCAAAGATTTGAGCAAGTAGTAATGCATGCCTAAATTCTAATTATAGTATGCGTAAAAACCTAAATTATAGTAACATAACAAAAACAACAGGAGACATTTACAGATTAACTGTAATTTACAACTTGTTGCATAAACTGCTGCAACATTACGGTTCCATTCCAGTTGCATATCTGTTAACATGGTTTGTTGTAATTCTTCAAAACTAACTTTACCTATTTCTTTATTATTTTGCTATAATGTACGCAAGAGCCACCCCCCCCCCCCCAGTAAAACGTTGAATTATCCTATCTTCTTATAACAACGCCGGCAAAAGTGTACTCTCAAAGTCAGCCTAAGACACTAGTCCTACACTAGTACCTCCTTGTATCTAACCTTCATCAGGGCACAGCCGATCCCTTGAGCGTTGTTGCCCTTCAATCACCTTCAAGAGTACCCTGAGGTGTTTCCTTACCTCAGCACAACACACACTATACCTGTTTATGTAACTTAAGATTTATACTGGTATTCAACTATCTTGTGATTCTTTGCATCATTCTTTCAAATATAATATTACTGAATCAAATTCTATATATTTTGCATAGTGCAACATATGTCACATGTTGGTACAGTAAAAGATACAAAGTTTTTACAGCTATTTATTATGAAGATGAAAACAAACATGAATGGTTATTTAACAAATGCATCATTAACTCAATTATAATAACTTGTTTACACAGAGAAAATACACTAGTGTGATACACATCAATGAGAAAATTACTTGTAGCTCTTAGGCTATTTGAACCTGTGACCACCGTACTGCCAACCACAGCCTCTACCACTGTACCCCCCTCACTTGGTTCAAGTTGTACAACCTGGGATTCTATTGAACCAACAGCAAGTTTCAAGGCCTCTCCTGAAGCCATACCAAGTTTTATGTATAACCCCGAGGTGCCCAGGTGTGAGTAAGGTAGGTCAACACAGTATGCCCTATTAAGTGTGATTTCTCTTTCTGATGCCTGCTTGATGGGGCTCTTGGAGTTGTTGTTCTCCCCTAGACCAGTCCGAAGCCAGGCTTGACTTCTGATTGGAAGACACAGGTATGCTTTTTATTTTCTCTCTTCTCTCTTTTATTTTCCTTCCCTTTCATTCTCTGCCGTAGATGTACATTTACGTATACAGTAGAGTGAAGGGAAGGGGCCCACTGGGAAGCGTGTCAAGGAAAACCCAGCACAAGACGCTGCCAGAGTAGCAGGCACCGGCCCTGTCAACGAGAGCAGCAGAGTCTTTGCCTGCTTTCTTTCTCTCTCTCTGTGTGTAATTGATGTTGGTGCACACGGTGTACTTTACCCACACCCGGGCGCCTGGGGTTTATAAGTCAAACTTGGTATAGGGAGGCCTCTAGACTTCCTGTTGGTTCAGTAAAATCCCAGTTTGTACAACTTATACCAAGTGAAGGGGTGACAGTGGTAGAGGTTGTGGTTGGCAGCACACTCGTTGCAGGTTCCAGTCACTTAAGAGCTCCAGTTGATTTTCTCAATAACTTGTTTGTTAGCTTTCAATGCTTCTACAATCCAACACGCTCTCGCAAACAAATTTATATCTCATTATGTGATTGGTTACTATTATTTTGGGGGGAATTGGGAGGTGGGGGTCTTTAACCTTTAAAGAGTGACTACCATCATATGTTGATCCTCAAACCAATGTACTTATCGTAGTGTGCCGATTTTAGATATTACTGCCTGAATTTTAAACTGATATTATATTATATTATATATATATGAGAAGAATAACCACATGTGAAAAATAGAGAATGCTTAACACGTTTTCGGCTAATTCGCCTTCATCAGAGCAAAGTAGAATGAAGATCTTCATTCTACTTTGGCCAAACGGGTAAATCGTTACATTCACCTTTAAAACCACTTTCTTATTCGATTCCAACAGTCCAACATTCTAGTGCATTGTATTTACATTCCAGGTTATATAATCGTGCTATCAACTTGAGAAGGGCAAAACGCACTGCTCTGTATAGGTGGTTTGTTGAGTGAAGTTAAGAAAAACGAAAAAGAAAGAAAAAAAGAAATACTGTAATCTAGTTCTTCAATAGTTCACTTGTCTTTTATATTTATACTACAGTATTCTTACCCTATGAGACAGGGAGAGGTTTATTCTCACATTGATGATGTAGTGACCTGTTTTTCCCTTGAGACTGGCCACCTGTGCCTGTGGGTCAGGTGACCTCTTGACCATTCTTTTCTTCTCTATTGAAATTCTGTCGTGCTCTCATGATGGCCACATGGCTGAAAAAGCACTAAGCATTCTTCTATTTTTCAACCTGATTTTCCGCATACTTGGAGTAACAACCGCATTCAATCCGCACACAACTCATGATCGTTGTTACATATAGTTATAATAAATACATCTATATGGATGTAATGGATTTAACCAAAACCAATAAAAATTATGTAATCATTTTACCATTACTTGCTATACAATATGGTTATCCCATATCATGTACTAGTTGTTTGTGATTGCTGTAAAATAGTAGTTTGGTCTTTCCTGCCAGTATATAAACCAACACTCCCTGACAGAATAACAGAAAAGTTGTGGGGTTGTAAGACACTTCCTCTAAGCTGTGTCATCAACAGATTTACATGCAATACAATATTAGGGGTACATATTTCATTGGAGGCCTATATTCGGTATTAAATCACACTTTTCGTCAATCGTGTATTCATAGATCGAGTTATTTCACACTGCATAAAGTGAAACATTGAACATAAAACTATCAAACTTGCCTGTCTCTCCTCACCCCTATGCAATGGGCCAGCAAATTGCTTATTTCTTGTTGACGGATCCAATGGGGCTACCTGGCTCCCTCCTAACATACATGCCAGAAAAAAACTATTTTTTCCACTTCCCTTCCCTTTTGCATGTCAATATATTATTCTATGAGAACAAATTTATTATTACTATTTTATGCAAAAGTGAGGTGACAATTTTGATTATTGTCACTCTTTATGGTTTAAACACCCCCAGGGTACTAACATGGAGTTAACATAAGTACAGTACTACTGTGCATACAGTATGATATTTCCTAACATACAATATTGTACATCTTAAGTGTAAACAATTAACATGTGTGATAATGAATCATGTTCATTTAGCTACATTAGTTATTCAAATATATTTTGAAAGTGTATATGTACATTTCATTTTGTTTCAATTAATCACTTTTCAATTATTTTTTAAATTTTAATGGGTAAACAACAGCTGGTACAGTACTTTTAGGATACAAATATTCACGGACATAATAAAAATAGTTATTTTCTTATCCCAACTCTTATGTGACCCATAAAAATCCATGCTCCGATCTATGCATTGTAGCAAAGTTCCACATTATTTAAGATCCCCTTGGCTTGCGATGATTTCAGGGCTCAACGTCCCCACTGCCCAGTCCCCGGGAAAGCCTCCTACCTTGAATCAAACACTTTAAACTATATCCTGGATATAGTTTAAACTCCTGGAGTTATATCCAGGAGTTCCAGATATCTGGCACATCTTGAGACCTAATTACTTGAGATACATAGGGTTTCAATGTTATTAACTTTAATAAAAAAAAATTAAAGAACACTAAGAGGAAAATAGATGTTTGTTTGTAAAACAAACTTCAACATCTTGAGAGCACTTCAACATCTCATTCCAACACAAGTAAATATCATAAATATCACTCCATAAAATGCTTAGAATTATCATTAAACATTAAAGTAGATTTCTGCAAACAAACTGGTTGAGTTAAATATTAAACATTAAAAGAAACCTTAGATTGCCTTAAAGAGGCCCACAAATTCAATGCTTTCCTCTATACTATCTGAAACAAGACTACCTAATTCACTGCCTCCAAATATTAAAAGCTTTGCAAAATACTGGCGAAAATAAAATTATAGGTACAGAATTTGTTATGCACTTGTAATACTTAAAGAGCTGTCTGCATATGAATCCTTATATAAGGAACATAAGAGTGGTTACAAGGCCTGTTTTCATACAAAATTTAAAGTTATTAATCATTGGAAGGAGACAATGGATCAAGTTCACACGTAACAGTTTCAATTATGGGAGAGACATAGGTAACGGAAGAGGAGTCCGGGTCCAAATCTGTTGAGGCTCGGATATACTGAGGAGAGGCAGAAATATATTGAGGAGAGGCAGGAGTATATCGAGGAGAGGCAGGAGTATATTGAGGAGAGGCAGGAGTATATCGAGGAGAGGCAGGAGTGTATCGAGGAGAGGCAGGAGTATACCGAGGAGGGGCAGGAGTATACCGAGGAGAGGTGGCAGAAGCATATCGAGGAGAGGCAGGGGTATATCGGTGGGAGGCAGTAGTGTTTCGAGGGGAGGAAGGAGCGTACCGAGAAGAGACGTGGGTACGTGGAGAATACGTAACAGATACCTGAGGAACGGGCATTTCCCTTTCTTTCTTAATACCCTCAATGATTTGAGCACGATGCACAGTCATATGAGCATTTAAATTACCCTTTGTAGATGAACGATAATCACAGTGACAGCAAGCAAAAGGCTTCTCTCCCGTGTGCTTGCGAATGTGTGTTCTCAAGCTTCCCTTCTGAGTAGTGCAGAATGAACAATGCGGGCACTGAAAAGGCTTCTCCCCAGTGTGAGTTCGCATATGATTCTTGAGATTAGTAGTAACATTTGTGGAGTAAGGACAGAAGGAGCACTGATGCATCTTGCTGGTGCTGTGGCCCTTCCCAGATGCTGTGGTTCTGCTCTCGCCATGCCAAGGTCCATCATTGTTGAGCCCCACCTGTAGGGGACGCCCATCTTGCTAATCATTAATATTATATATATAGGCATCTAGGGTCTTAGTCTCTGCAAATGAGTAATGTTGTAACAGTCTTAAGAAAAAACATTATACTGTACTAACAATTCAGTCTTAACTACCATTTACCTTGTTTGCACAGTATTCCCAAATATAAAACATGTACACATGTTAATTAAATTACTTCAATAGAATTCCAAATGACATGAGCTATCGTACATCGGTTAGGAAATGATGATAATTCAATATTCTAACAAAATACAAGTTCTAATGACATATAACTGAAATAAACTTAGGAAAATTAAATGTTTAATGTTGCCCTGCTAATTGACACAAAATATTAATTAATAAATATGTATGGCTTCATTCTTATTCTGATGCTTCACTCTTTATAGCACACATCGCTGAGCGCTCCAACTCCAAAACATATGATATCCCACTCTCACAAACATATTCAAACTACTGTATTGCATTCTCACCTCTCGTTATTAAAAACAAGCAAGATGTTGCTATCAGGAAAATGATCAATAATCACAATATGGATATTTTCATAACGATAAATTTACCAGTAAACTGTACTATAACGGGGCAAATGAACATACCAGCACCGTATAACATTAAACTCGCACCAACAATCCATGTTAATACCATTCTTACAGGTACACACACACACCATACAAAGTAATGCATATATATGCAAGGGAAGAAAATGCTCACACATAAGCATGATTGTAACCCGACATCAAACGCACACAAAAACTGACCTGCTAATTAAATAATAGCTTGCAAAGCATGTTTATGACAGCAAGAATGATAAATAACAAACACCTGAACATTTATAAAAATGCCAAGATTCACATTTGTTTCAATATACTGCATTTCTCAACTACCTTAAACAAATGATACAAATATGATAATACATCTCGAGGGATGTAATGGAGATAGCAAAATTTGTTCATGGGACTTGGTCATCATTTTTAATTGCTTACTGTGCAAAGAGGTTATTATGTACTAGCAGTCTGCAAATATCATCAAATAACAATTTGGTCTTTCCCACCAGTGGTTGAATTTATCTCTGGATGGAATATCTACACAGCATAGAAGCAAAGGAGTGGGCTGCAATGTTGCTCCACAGTTTAAAAGAACTGTGCCAAGGATAGGTTTGTTATGTAGGTGTACATACTGTATTACATTATAGGTTTATATATACAGTAGTACTCAAGTAACTGTTTTGTAAAATATGTGTACTGTTCCTAAAAAATGTTATTCAACGCAAAGCATATATACTGTAGTGTAAACCAATAAGTGAAGCCACGAACAAGAAAAAAACCAACTTGCTTATTCGAACACACACTCGTCCCTATACCACGAGTCACCAAATTGCACCTTTAGTGCTGAAACAAGCAATGATCACGCCACCTGTCTATTGTGTACACTTCAAATAATCTGTCTTTTTCCATTTAAATGTATCAGTCTATAAGAACTTTTTTGCATGGGTGGAGTTGCACTTTTTGATGATAGCTGCTCTATAAGGGTTAACAACCTAATCGACTGAAGCCACACAAGTAACTCAAATATTCAAGAACAATTCACCTCCATTAGAGCAAAGCAGGAAGTTGCATTCACAAAACTTCTTTGCTTATATCTGAATGATTACTTAAAACATGCCTCTGTAGATTTCCTTTTTGAGAAGAGAAATAGGAACAATGAGCACAACCATATGGTTTTTCACCAGTATGAGTACGAATGTGAGCCTTTACAGTTTCTTTCTGAGCTGTGCGAAAAGGGCAATATGGACAAGAGAATGGTTTCTCTCCTGTGTGAGTACGAGCATGTTTCTTGAGATTAGTTGTGACATAAGTAGAGTAAGGACAGTAGGGACACTGATGTATCTTGTTTCTGAAGTTGAGCCCAGTCCAAACTGCAGAGACTCTGCTACAGCCAGTCTTCTGACCACCACTGAACGCCCCTACCTGTAGGGTACGGCCATCTTACTACAAGAAAATACTAATAATCCAGAAATATTCTTTATTGCAAATATAGTTAAGAGTGTGCCATGAACTGCATAATTAATAAAAATAAACCATTTTATTTTCATAACAACAGACTAAATCAAGGCAAATAATAAAATCATACTTTCATTTACTATAACATTGTACAGCTGCAGACTTTTGCAAGACAACTAAATATGATTTGAGAAAGGAAATTTTTATATTATCAATGTTATAGTAAATGAAATGTATGATTTTATTCAATTTGCCTTTTTTGCACTTTTATAAAAAAAATCTTTACACTGTACTGTACTTGTTAAATAACAGATTTACATATAAAATAAGTTTGATTTTGTTAATCATAGAAAAAATAATTTTAAATTTTAAGTTAAATGAAGATTTTTAAACTAAAGTACCTAATTACGTATTCACATTTAAGTAAAAAAACAAATAAATGAATACTGTACACAAAGTACAGGAAAGAAATTCAACATCTCTCTAGCTTCAGTGGAAAAAATCTAAGCTACAAGCTATTCCTTTACCTAAGAAATTCTCCCCAAAAGAGTGGCTACATACAGCAATGCAACCAAAGAAATTTGTTCTGTTCCTATTAAACCTTTCTGATGCAATACCATTATTTTGGCCCCTGTCCCCACCAAGGATCAAAAGGCAGAAAGAAAAGAAAAAAATACTTGCATTTCAAATAAGAAAAGAAAGATTCTCTCCTGCTTGTGACATTTAAAAAATAAATGACTATTTTCAATTAGAAAATATGGTAGAAGTAACACAAAACTAGGCTATATATATTTAGAGTATATACTGTATTATACGGAATATATATTGTATACTATTCCCAAAACAAATACCGATTTACTCGTGTAAAATAAATACAGTAATCAATTGTTAAATAATTACTTTTTATGTAATGAATTTAGATAACTTTTATGGGTCATCATTAACCAATGCACTGCGCCCCCCAACAAAACATAGGATATGGCCGATAGCCAACAGAAGCGATGTTAGTATATCATAGGATTCAAACGTGTGCCCAATAGGTTGGGTACGAAATGGGTGCCCGAGGCCTTCAGTGAGAGGCAGCTATCTGGAAAATGATTCCCAGCATGCCCCAGGGATGTGCGTTGGCTCAGTTCTGAGTGAGCGACCATTGATGGCGCACATGCCTCTGGCTCCCAATCCCCTGTCAAACACGGTGTTGAAAGATCACTCTGACGGTGAAATTCAGACATTATTGTTTGAAGAAGATTCGGGTACTGTAGTAATATTTATGAAGCAAAGCACGATAAAGACCTAACACAAGTGTCAGATGCAAGTGATACAGAACGGATGAGAACGATACAGCGAATGTATCCAGAGGGAGAGCACCAGGTGTCCTGCGGCCTCCCAGGCCATCGCCCTCACCATTATCATCAACAGCAGTGCCATCCTCAATTTTTGAATAAAGTGATACTATAGATGAATCATTTTCTGGGTTCAGTGACGCAACTGGAACTTATTGCAGTTGGCTTATTACTTACTTCACGAATGATACGACGGAAGGACACCACTGTGACTGAATTGCATGTATTCACCTAGTTGTGCTGGCGGGGGGTTGAGCTCTGCTCTTTCGGCACGCCTCTCAACTGTCAAATTATCAACTTTTTTTTTTCTCCCCACACACACAGAAAGCAGCCTATAACAGCTGAAACTCCCAGGTACCTATTTACTGCTAGGTGAATAGGGGGCATCAGGGTGAAAGAAACTCTGCCCATTTATTTTTATGCCTCTGCCGGGGATCAAACCTAGAACCTTAGGACTACGAATACCGAGTGCTATCCACTCAGCCATCGGGCCCAGTCCTGAATGAGTCTTTTTAACATGAAGAAAGCCTTTACATACCAAAAGGCTTTGCCTAAGATTGTAAAACAACAATTTGCTTAAATATATAGTATATACTATACATATTATATATTTAGGGGGTACCACCTATGGTTGCATTTAGTATAGGGACCCTCCACCTCGAAGAGGATGATATGCAGCATCTGCGGAAGCCTTGTGGGGCACCCGCATACACACACACATTGTTTTCTCTTACCAATCCTCTATATTTTTATATTTTGTCATTTTATTTTATTTAAAATTTAATTTCACAATAAGGGTTACAACATTGGTTACATGCAAGGTACAAGGTTACTTGTCACAGGTTGTTGTGTTCCTCCAGCTCCTCAGATGGCGGGCAGACACCATGGATGCCGTGGATATTTCCTCATTGGATGGCCACACTAAGGTGCTGAAAGAGGAAACTGGCGGCTCTAGGGTCTCTAGTTGTTTCAATTAGCTTAGAACCCAACTCCTTAAAAAAACTAGCAGCACTTTTACCCCACTTTTAGTATATATATACAGTAGAACCTCGAGTGACGAGCGCCTCAATTGGCGAGCAATCTGGGTAACGAGCGCCCCAATTCCCGACAATTCGTCTCGTTCGGTGAGCGTTCGTTTGAATAACGACACCACCACATGGTGGGGTCGCGCTTCTTCTCGCACGCTTCTGACTATGCAAATAAATTACCTTTTTTGTTTAAAGATGCTAATGATGCTGGGATGTAAAGGGGTGACTGCTGTGATGTTGCAAAGTTTAACAGGCTGTTGTATGGAGCGGCCCGCAGGCCCACATAGCCACCACAGCCCAGTTGGTCCGGCACTCCTTGACGAAAACTACCTAGTTTAATCTTGAAGCTGTCCACAGTTGTTCTGGCACTATTTCTTTTACCTGTTATGACCACGCATACACCAGTATGATCATACTGAGGCTGGTGTATGATGTGCTCAAACTATATAGTGATATCTTGGCTGATTAGCCTAGTATCACGAATATTGTAATTATTAGTGAATCTTTTTTGACAGTAGATTATTGTTAATTTGTGTATTGACAATGTATGTCATACTTAACCAAGTCAAATATATTTCTGTATCAAAGTTGTATGGAATGTATTTGTGGATATATATTAGATGTCAAGTGTATAGCAGTAGCCTAATGTCATGCTAGCTTGAAAAACATCCTAGTACAGTATGTGTATTGTATGTAATGCTACATAAATGCTGTATAGGTAACATTATGTGGACCATGATGGAGAATGTATACATATAGTTTTCATATGTACTGTATTACTCACCTATATACTGTGTAATTTCCATTTCAGAGCTGTTCCTTGCATTGTCCTCTGGTCGTGACATTAAATGAAATTATGACACTGTGAAATGTGTTCCACCTAAACAAGCTTTTGATACACATGTTGTATACTGTATATCTACTTTATTTTGTATTCTTGTATACGTATGTATTAACAGTTGGCCAATGTCTTGAATCCTCCCTAAACCCCCCCCCCTCCCCCCACCGACTCACGCCAGTGTTACCATGTCTTACCAATACGAATTCTTTGTGTACATATTTCTATATCATGATAAATTATTTAATGTACCGAATTCTTATTATGTATTATGTATTATTATGTACGGTTGTGTATTATAATCTTTAATTTGTTGTATAGTAAATTAGAAGTTCATGATTGAGTTATGTCTGTAAATGAGCTTGAGAGATTTGAAAGAGGGGAGTCAATTGACTCATGGAGTTGGATCCACGGTTGCCTCCCGGCCAGCTTGGCTCAAGGCGCCACTACTCTCTGACCATCCCAGGCAAGCGCATCTGTGGCGTCTCGGTCCGATAATTGTGACCTTATTTGTGAACTGTGACTGCTAGATTAATTGTCATGTAACAGTATGTATTACCATGGATCATTTCTACTGTTGTTCATCATGTATACCAGGTAGTAGAGGTTTTTATGTCTTTGTGAGGTGACATTCTGAGGAACTTAAGTAATGCCAGTGTGCTGTATGTGATATTGTTTCCTCATACCTCATGTGTTACTGGATGGTATACCACCACCCTGTATTGGTATTAGCAGCATATAGGCGCTAGTGTTCCATTGCACCAGGATAAAGCCTGGTGTCAGCTAGTGCTGACTGATGCAGTTTCCAGACCTGTAGTTGATGATCATGCCCAGTTGTCGAGAAGCTGGATAAAGTAATTGTGTGTGGATTAGTAGCTGGTTAATCTTTTAATGTTGTGTGTGTTTATATTAATACCAGTAAACTAGAATATTTTTTGCTAGCCTTTCATTCTCCTAGGACATTGATTGATATTTGGCCCAGGCTGTGTGTTCCAATGATGCTGAAGGTTACTCCCTCTCATAACTATAAAGTGGGGGGTCTTGTCCGTGTCTCCTAATAGTGAAATGGGGACACTGTGACCTATGCTTGAAACAATCGAGAACATAAAAATGATGGTAACTGCAGAAGGCCTATTGGCCCACAGGAGGCAGCTCATTTATATCCACCCAACCACATTCATATATATATGTCTAACATACACATGAAACAATCAAGGGATCCCACTTCTGTTATGTTATACAGTAATTGTTTTCACAAATCATCAACCCTGTTATCGTGCCAGTATTTACCCAGGTCTTTCTTAAATCTAAACTTAGACAATTTATACCATTGTTTCGTGTTCTATTTTGTGTTGATACTTTTAATACCCTATTATTATCCTCTTTGTTATGCAAATTCATTGTACATGTTAGGTGTACAATTTTGTACACCTTTATCATGTCACCCAAATACTTCACCTTTCTAGGGAATGTAAATTAAGCTTTTATCATTCTTTCTTTATATGACAGGGGTTTCTAATTTGCTGGGTTAACTATCATCCTACACTGGATGTGTTCTAGTGAATTTATATCCATTCTATAGTATGGCGACCAAAACTGAACTGCATAATCTAAATGGGGCCTAACAAGAGCATGATAAAGCTAAAGAATAACACCAGGTGTTTTATTACTTACACTTCAAGAAATATATCCCAGTGTCATATTTGCCTTATTACAAACATTTATGCATGGATTTTTTGGGTTTTAAATTCTTACTAATCATAACTCCCAGATCACTTTCATAAATCTCAACACCATCTACCTCATATCTTGTAACTATCATTACCTAGTCTCAAAACCTTACATTTGTCAGCATTAAACTGCATCTGCCAATCTTTTGACCCATTCAAAACCCTGTTTAGATCGTCTAGAAGTGATAGCGAATCTTTTTCCGTGTTTGCCTCCCCTACCAATTTTTGTATCGGCAAATTTGCAAATATTACTGCTCAAACCTGAATCTAAATCGTTTATATATATTATGAATAACAGAGGTCCCAGGACAAGGCCTTGAGGCACTCCACTTACATTTTCTTACTCTACCTTAACTCCATTTATACTAACTCTGTCTCCTTTGCGATAGCCATACCCTAATCCAATTTAATATAGCACCCCAATACCGTGAGCCTCTAAATTTTTCATGGAGCTAATTGCTTTCATTATTGCATCTCTCCTCAGCTTGCATTATCAGAGACAATGCTTCTATAATGCACCGTGTTAGTGCATCACCACTGCTTTACTGTTGTAATCGACAACAAAATGAAGATTTAGAAACTATACTATTTTAAGATTCTCTTTACTGTATTACAATTTAACTGAAAGCTAGATGACGTTTAGTGAAAACATCACAAACGATAAAGGTAAGGATAGGTATTTTTAAGATATTACATTTTACACTTTATGATAGGATATTGGCTATATGCCATAATGTAACTTCACCCATTTACATGTGACTTCCCTGAATGTTTTATTTAAAAAAAAAATTAATCATTGGATTATAACACACACAGTAGATGAGATTATTTATTTCTACAATCTACACTGTATTATGTACTGTTTACATTTACCTTAAAAGCTTCATAGGAATGAATATTTATTGTACATACCGGTAGTAATTTTAAAAGCTAAATGAACAAACACAGTACAATGCTGACCTAAGTCTTGCAACAACTAAACACCTAAATAGCAAAGAGATTAAATAAATTATTTAACTGTGTGACGTGTCCATATGTGCGTATCTAGGCTCCCTTTATTTGAAGAGCGATAAGGGCACTGGGTACAAACGTAAGGCTTCTCTCCAGTATGTGTACGCATGTGCGTTTTAAGATTTGTCCTCTGGTTGGCACGGTATGGGCAATGCGGACACGAAAATGGCTTCTCTCCTGTGTGAACTCGCATGTGATTAATAAGGTTTGTAGTAACAGAGGTGTTATACAAACAGTATGGACATTGATGTGTCTTGCCAGAGGTGACGTGGGCCTTCCCGCCTCCTTTCGCTCCTCTCTCTCCAGTCCAGTGACAGGCACTTTCCAGCCCCACCTGTTGGGGACGCCCAACTTACTCAGGGTCATATTTAAATCAATATATTAACAAAAAATAAGTTAGACATAATTCATTACACCTATATTACATTGCTTAGGGCTCAAGTTCACAATTCCAAAATGGATCATGCTTCAAGCAGCATTACTAAAATTAAATTAAATCCTAAGGGTTTTTCATTTACAGCAGATTTCACATAAACTGGCCTAAAGAAAATATAATTTTATAATCCCAGCAAATTCTTATTCACAGCATTAAGACTACTACCCTTGGTCAAGTCAACCATCAAGAACCAACCGATCAAAAATAATACTGTGTAACTTAACAATATCTTTTATATTGTCCACATTCATTTAAAGATGCCCTTTTTTATGGAGTCATAAGCTATCCAATAACTAACCACCAATATAAGTAGCAATTTGCTGTTTTTTTCAGTTTAAATAAGTGAAAATATTTTTTTTTTTTTACTGTGAGACATACTACTGAAACCACATTTTAAAGTTCATAAAATTGTAAGTTAATAATTTTATTGTCTATAACTGCATTTGTTGCACCTAATTACGAGAAAGATTATTACTCGATTTTTGGATCCCAGTAATACAAAGATTTTGTCAATAAGTTTCAATGTTGATTTTATTATATGAATAATGAAGGCTACAAATTTACAGTGCATAAACGTTTGCCCCGATATCTCGGAAAAATATTATTTCTAAGAGTTGTGTCATCTCTCTCCAATGCTGTGTGAAGGTCAGGGGTAGAGCCATCCTGCTGCCAGCAATGTATTTCAATAGCAGTTTCTGGTGTACTGCGAGTTGTTTCATGAAGTCAGTCAACCAGGGTATTTGTACACAAGAGCTTTGCAATGAATCAAAGAAATAGTATGAAAGAAACCTTGATTCAAGTGTTTTGACATCATGAAACAAATCCCTTGTCCACTGGGTTCTCTGAGAAATCATGCACAACAGGGATACTTTTATTTGGTGTCCACCACACTACAAATTCAAGAAATGATGCGACAGGCCTACTCTTAATGCCAGGCATGCACATGAAGTTGAAGCATTTTACCTGTACAGGTACTACAAAAAAGAATCTGAATAATGAGTGCATTTAGTCTTGCACACACAGATGCACCAACATGTGTGTTCAATCACCCCCTCCCACAAACACATGAAACACACTTTTTTTATTAGACACATTGACCAGTCAATGTGTTAACTGCATGTGAAAACTATACTTCAATGGGGGGAACTTACAAACTTGTGAATGCACATTTACATAAAAGTTGCTGTAGGTGATAAAACAGATGGAGGGAGGAGAAGAGAGAGAAGAGTGAGAATGAGGAGCAGGCCGAGAAGGAGCCGAGAAGGAAGTAGGAATGAAGACTGAAAATGTAAACAAATGGGGAAGCATGAGAATGAGGCACATAGAATGAATGAGGCACAGAGAATGAGGCAAGCAAAAAAAGAGGGAGGAGAAGGATGGAGGTCAGAGGAAAGGAAAAATTATAAAATGAATAGAACTGGGGCACAGTGCAAAAGTCTTTGAGAGAGTGGAAGGGATTAATACACGTGGATGTTAAGGGGAAATAAAGAAGGTTTGAGGATTAGAAGAGGAGCAGAGGTGATGTCAGGGGATGTCAGACGAGGACAACAGTGATTGGGAAAATGTAAGAGGGCAGAGAGAATAGATCAGAAAAATTAAATGGAAAAGGAAGATGAATTATTCAATGTGTAGGAATAAGGAAGCCAAGAGGAAAAGCGGGAAGGAGACAACAATGAAGAGCAAATGGAGGGTAATAACAATGTAGGGAAATAACAAAGGAAAGGTGAAGGACAGTTGGAGGCAGGCAGGTGAGGGAGAGGAAGCAGGCACAGAGTAGATAAAGGAGAGGAGGAAGGGAGGCAGTGGGGAAAAGGAGGAGGAAGGGAGGCAATAAAAAGGAGGAAAAGAAGGCAAAGATACAATGGGAAGAAGGAAAAGGCAGGGATGCAATAGAGGAGGAGGAGGACGCAGGAAAGGCAATGGGAGGAGTAGGAGGAGGAGGGGGGAGGAGAAGGAAGAGAGGGAGGGGGGGGGAGGAGGAGGAGGAGGAGGAGGACTGGGAGGAGGAGGAGAGGGAGGAGGAGGAGAGGGAGGAGGGAGGAGGAGGAGGGAGGAGGAGGAGGGAGGAGGGAGAGGGGGAGGGAGGGGAGGAGGAGGAGGAGGAGGAGGAGGAGGAGGAGGAGGGAGGAGGAGGAGGAGAGGAGGAGGAGGAGGGAGGGAGGAGGAGGAGGAGGAGGAGGGAGGAGGAGGAGGAGAGGGAGGAGGAGGAGGAGAGGGAGGAGGAGGAGGGAGGAGGAGGAGGGAGGAGGAGGAGGAGGAGGGAGGAGGAGGAGGAGAGGGGAGGAGGAGGAGGAGAGGGAGGAGGAGGAGGAGAGGGAGGAGGAGGGGGAGGGAGGAGGAGGAGGGGGAGGAGGAGGAGGAGGGGAGGAGGGAGGAGGAGGAGAGGGGAGGAGGAGAGGAAGGAGGAGGAGAGGAAGGAGGAAGAGAGGAAGGAGGAGGAGAGGGAGGAGGAGGAGGAGAGGGAGGAGGAGAGGGAGGAGGAGAGGGAGGAGGAGGAGGGGGGGGGGGGGAGGAGGAGGAGGGGGAGGAGGAGGAGGAGAGGGGAGGAGGAGGAGGAGGAGGAGGGAGGAGGAGGAGGAGAGGGAGGAGGAGGAGGAGGAGGAGGGAGGAGGAGGAGGAGAGGAGAGGAGGAGGAGGAGAGGGAGGAGGAGGAGGAGAGGGAGGAGGGGGAGGAGGAGGAGGGAGGAGGAGGAGGAGGGAGGGGAGGAGGAGGAGAGGGAGGAGGAGGAGGAGGAGAGGGAGGAGGAGGAGGAGAGGGAGGAGGAGGAGGAGGAGGAGGAGGGAGGAGGAGGAGAGGGAGGAGGAGGAGAGGGAGGCAATGAGGAAGGAATGTGGAAGGAGGCAATGGGGAAGGAGGGAGGGAGGGAGGGAGGGAGGGGACAAAGGAAAGGGTGCAAGAAACAGAGAAAGAAATGAAAAACAGGTGAAGGGGGGGGGGGGGCAGACTTAATATAAGAGGAGGGGGGCCTGTAGAGGTGAGGATAGAGGTGAAGAGTAGGATTGGCAGGAGGTTGGGGGACAACAAGGGTGGAGCTGGGGGGACAAGGAGCAACGCGGGAAGAGAGGAATGCAAAGAAATACAATTAACAAGTGTGCTGCCTAAAATAATGCAGTCTTCCATTAACTAAGAACAATGTTAATTTGTATAGCCTACTTTCATTTACTTGAGAATCTACATGGTTGAAACTGTCCAATATCAATCTTGACTGGAAACAATATCATGGCTTTGAGACCTCTTTAACAATAAAGACTCTTCCTTCACAGAAATGGCCCTACGGAAGGTCATTTTTACAGTTTCTAATTATAGACGGATACTTTAACCCACAGATCTCCATATATTCAAACTTTATGACGCTCACAGCAGAGCAATCAATTATCATTCCTTATATATGTATTCCAATATTGGGCCATCTTTAACATATATACACGTGATAATCCAAGAAATATATCAGTGAACACAACAAAAAATGAACATGCGCCCAGTACACAGTCAAGCGGGAGTTCCATAGACCATCTGCCCTTGGAGACTAGCATAGGTCTTAGAAGCTCTGTTTGACTTTTTTCTATATCCTATCGATTATTATTTGTAGTCCGAACTGGATAGGGCAACACCCAGTTTGAAGATCATATCAAATTGCTGAATGGATGCATTTTACAACTTGCTAATGTTTAATCTATTGAATCCATAGGAATAACTGATCTAAACATTTGCAAATGGCATACTATTGATTTCTCATGATATGTCTACCTAAACTTATCATGGGTAATTATTCAAACTTGACATTTAGAAGGGTTGACCGTGGTACAGTATTACATTCTCAAAGAGCCTTCCCAAAGAAATAATGCATATGGGTTTTCTTCCCAATTATGCCTATGCTATTATACCAACAGAGAAACTAAGATCAATTATTTTCCTTTGCAGTATCTACTTCTTCATGCTTCTCCAATATTTTGAATCATATCTAATACTAGTGTAGTGTAATATCTAAATCCTAAACTTAAAGACTTTCAGTGCAAGAGTTATAAATTATGTTTACTTCATCCCTTGCTAGAGAAGGGTCGCTTTAATAATTTCATACACCATTTTCCTCCTGAAGTAAGGCATGTGCTGCTGGTCAAAAGTTATGACTCCATCACGTGACAAATATTCTGCAAACATGCATGCGAACATTCCACAATCTGATCCATTCATCTGCTGGGGAATATCCTTGACATTTTCTAATGTCCAATCACTTGTGTCGTAACTGGTCTTCTTTTTGTCTAGATGCTCATCCTCGAGGTATTTAAGTAATGCCTCGAGACACTTGTTATTGTCACCCAGCATGGAATCGTAGTAACGGATAGCTTTGACCCGAAAATCTATTGTGGCTAGACACCAATGCATCCCCAAGTGAATAGGTACAAGTACGATATCTTGACTAAATATATCAATCTTTTTAGTCCATCTTTTAACTGTTTGGAAACCAGTTTTCATCAGCTTTGGGTAAAAGAAAGTGTTAAAAGCATGAACATTTGGAAAGTTGTCATTCTTCCCTCTTTCCATCAATAAATTCATGTAGAAATTAATGACTTCATCATTTAACCAATTAAGGCCAGCCAGAGTGGATATATCATGCCGGGTAATCTGAGTATTGAACTTGTCAACCAGTACCTCCCCAGCAGGTGCCTTTTGCAGAGCATCATCAATAATATCTTCCATTTCAGGTGAAAGCTGAAGTAACTCTTCATCCTCATATGCAAACTCATCCTCATAATCTTCATCTTCAGGATGTAGTTTAACTTTTGAAGGGTATGAAAAATCAAGATGTCTCATCCCAAGAGAAATGCAGTTCTCTCGAGAAGCCTGCAGCTTCTTTCTCTTCTCCTCTAACAGTCTCTGTTCCTCAGCTAAAATCTCAGCATCATAATCACTAGCTTTTGAACGTATTTCATACTTTTCCCTGAAAGATTTAAGCCAATCAAGATTATATATCGGAGATTCATGAAGACGCTTCTCTAAAGAATTCCTGAATGAAGACTCTCCTGCTGTCTTTTCAGAGGATGCCTTATCATTCTGTACATCTTCAGCAATATTATTGCCAACACTTGCAGGTTCTGTCATGTCAACAATGGAAGCATCAGAAGTCACCTTTCCAGGAAAGCTTGGAATACGAAATATGGCCGTTTCATCTGATTCTGGCATAGATGGAGAAACTGTAATAGTAGTTTCAAGCTGTTGTCGCTTTTCCTGCGTCCAAGTGGAGCTACACTGGGATCGTGAGATCATCCCTAAGGGACTGATATTACGCATGGGGTGTGAATTGGAGGACCTTGGGGGTATTGTATACACTGTATGACTGGATGGCAAAACAGCAGTGCCTGTAAACTGCTGGAGGAGTTGCCCATACCAAATTTTGTCCTCATAACGAAAGCTTGTTTGGGCACAGAAGTTACCCCTTCCATATATGAAAGATTTTGATAATGGTTTCCTCTTACGAATTCCGAAGTATCTGTCATGAAGGCTCTTCATGGGATTTTTGGTGACGAAGCCAGACTGTTTATTGATACAGGAGACTTTCCGATGAGCCAACGAATTCTTAGGCCACTTAGCTTCCATGGAGCTCATTCTTGCTGCAGTTTCTGCTGTGGCCTGTCAAAAAGTAACTGTGTTATTCCATCCATAGAAAACTAAAAAAATAAATAAATAAAATGCATTATGTCAGTCTCTTAAGGAGTCTACAATGCATTCCCTTTAAATCAAAAGGCACACCGTCAAAATGCATACCTCAAGAACAATCATATTAAGCATAATTAAACAATATATATAAAACGGTCTTTTCATTATTGAACTGATTTAGTTATCTACCCGTATCATACAATTTCATTACAGCACTGTATGCAACATTCTATATACTTTACCCACAATCTACAGAATCTAATATGCAATAAATACTACACCCCATCAATACCATGCAAACAAAAAAATTAATAATATATACTGTGTATATTAACTTCATCAAAAATGTGTATGAGGAACTACTCACAATTTAGCTGGAAATGGGCTCAGTTACTCTTCCATCTAATCTGATTTACTTTACTTCTTTTGTCTTACAAGACATGTATTTCTGCAGCAAACACTTCGTCATAATTAAGTATATTGGAACCAAAATAAAAACAACTCTTATGGAGCAGAATATTTTATACAAGTGAAGACTTACGGGACATTGCAAACTAATAACAGAAGCTACCAAAAGAAAAATATACATCTGCAGAAATTTACTATATAAGAGAGATTTCAAACAGTCAAGGGAGGGATTTAGTATTAAATACAGTACTTTAATAATTGAAACAAAAAATTACAGGAAGGAAAATTTTATATTTGGATGACAACATGAATTGAGTAAAATGAGCCTAAAAGATGTATTATAATACAAAAATTAAACCCTGCTTTAAACAATGCAAATAGCCATTTCAAGTTGCTGCAAAATCATACTTATTCCTTGTTTAGAACTAGACACTGCTATAACATTGAGGGGAAAAAGGATACACACAGGATCCCATTCTCTGCGCGGTATTTATAACCCAGAAAATGGCAATTTGGTGAAATTGGGATCTCCTCTACCAGTTAAGCTTAACCACGAATGCATAGCTGCCTAATAAATTATATTTTATATTTGTGTAAATATACTGTACTAGGTATACCTATACATACACACACACACATTTTTTAGGTAATTACACACACATTGTTATATTAAATATATATACTGTATAATATATATTATATATAATATATACACACATACATACATACATACAGTGGAACCTCGAGTGACGAGCGGCGTCAGTTACGAGCAAGCCAATCGCAGAAAATGTGTCTCCATTGACGAACTTTCGCTCGATTAACGAGCGTTCCCGCTGGTTCTCTGACACCTCCGACAACAGTTTTGTTATTATTTCGTAAGACGAGTTTTCCCACATAACAAGCTCAGTGCCGGAACGCATTAAATTTGTTAACCAAACCACACACTAGAAAGTGAAGGGACGACGACGATTTGGTCCTTCCTGGACCATTCTCAAGTCGATTGTGATGATTGAAGGAGGCGAGGCAATAAATAAGCAAGAGAGAGGTGAGGAGAAGAAAATCTTAAGAGGAAGAAAAAGAAACCAATAGGTACGAAAAGGAAGGTGTAATAAAGTGGATAGTAATAGGACTATGAACATAAGAACATAGATAACTGCAGAAGGCCTATTGGCTCATACGAGGCAGCTCCTATCCATACCCACCCAATAAGAGGAGGATAGTAATAGGAATAAGAAGGGGATAGTAATAGGAATAAGCAAGGGATCAAAAGAGAAAACAAGGGATAGAAAAAGAAAGAAAGAGAATGGAAAGATAAATGGAAGGGTTATGTTAGGTCACATTTGTTAGAAAGTTTTGAGCACGAGTACATACTGTGGAAGGGAAGGGCAACAGCAACAAAGCCAGGACTCAAGTTCACGTTGGATACACTGTGTATTAGAGCTGATTCAAGAAGACGGCGTCTGTGTAGAGGCAGGAAAGATTACTTTGGAAGACCACCTGCTTGATGGGGTTCTGGGAGTTCTTCTACTCCCCAAGCCCGGCCCGAGGCCAGGCTCGACTTGAGAGAGTTTGGTCCACCAGGCTGTTGCTTGGAGCGGCCCGCAGGGCCACATACCCACCACAGCCCGGCTGATCCGGAACTTCTCTTAGAAAAAGAGTCCAGTTTTCTCTTGAAGATGTCCACGGTTGTTCCGGCAATACTTCTTATAGTCGCTGGGAGGACATTGAACAACCGCGGACCTCTGATGTTTATACAGTGTTCTCTGATTGTGCCTATGGCACCAATCAATAGGATGATTAGAATCCGTAACATGATAGAAGAGAGCTTTGTTTGTGTCTGCAGACTTAACACTTCTTTTGTCTTCTGTAAGTCTGTTATTAAGTGTACGGTCCTTTGGTGAAACTGGCCGTACACTAAATGGCAAGGGAGACTTCAACCTCAAGGAGTAGCAGATAAATGCAGATGGATAGTACTGGACTGGAAGATCTGAAAGAGACATGACTGGAGCTCCAGCCACCGTGGTGGTGCCTATGACAGAAGAGAAGGAACAGAAGGTGGAATTAGAGAGGAAGAAACTAGAATCCGAATCGAAGGAACCACAACCTTGATTTCAACCTTCTTGAGAGGAACCTCAGAGTCCTGGCAAAGGGTGCAACATTCATCAGAGGCCCATTTGGTTTCAATCTCCAGAAAACTATCTGAATATCAGAACTCTGAAGACGTCGAAACGAAAGTGAATTCAGCTCGAGAAAAGGCCATCAAAAGTTACACAAACACCTATATGAACCAAGAATGAACCACAAAATCTGTTTTTTATTTTACAAGTATCTATCCAGTTAAGAGGAAAGCTGCCCAATTCTTGGGATGCCATGTACTCTTTATTTTTCAGGAGAGCCCTATGTGAAGCCCCACTCCACATGGGGCGCTCCTATTTTCCTTACGATGTCGGCTCTGCACCAGAGTATCCCTCAACAACAGGTGGCCCAGAGAGCAGCAAAGGTTTTGATAGCACTGGTAGGAGAATAGTGACAATATAATGGAAGCCAGAATTTAGACAGCTTCAGCCCCTCCCAAATCCCTCAAGCTGCCCCAGCAACAAACTTATCCAACAAAGCTTACTGCATATAACAAAGGACACTACTTATGTTAGATGATAAAGCTTGTCGATAGATTAAGGGCACAGCGATTGGTGTCAGTGTGTTAAGGGGAACTGTGGAAGAAAGGTATTCATGTGCACCACTTTTGAAGAACTACAAGTAGAATGTTCTCCAGCACCCACAGTGTATTACTAGGCAAGTACAGAAACTATATATAGATGTAGGCAAGAGTTGGCAAATAGAGTTCACCAATCTCTCAAGTTAACAGTAGAAACCCACACGGAAAAACTACCCTTCCTAGATACCCGTGTTTATATTGACGGTAACCGACTCTTACAAACCAAGACTTACTGTAAGAACTATCCAGAAATTCATAACTTGCATTCGTATCTCCTATATACGTCCTGTCACCCTACTTCTCTCGAGAGGTCTTTGCCCTATTCGTTGGATATTAGATTTAAAATAGTGAGCGACGAGAGTAACCCAGCAATGGCTCTGGAGCAGTTCTGGGATTATTTTCAGGAAATGATGCTAAATGATGGTCAACTCAAGTGAAGAGGTAAGGAAGGTGGTCCTCATCACGAAGGACAAGCCAACTTAACACTTTCGCGCTATCTGGACGCGCCGGCGCGTCCCGTTTCGTCTAACGCTAACGCATAGTGGACATAAAGTTGAGTCCTCTTTTAAAATATTTGTATAAAATTCAATTTTTATCCGATTTACTTTGGGTTTGTTTCAAACTGCGCGCTATGAGGCTCTCTTTCTCACCACTAGGCTGCATGGTACAATAAGTTCATGAAAGGTGTGGATAACTTCGATCAAATGGTATTTTGTCCCAAACGGGTTGCAGGTGGGTGACTTTAGCCGTTTATACTGGTAATGCTTCCCCCATATCATGTATTATATGCATATGTCTGTATAAACTTGACAAACATAACAAAAGTAAAAACATTTCGTGTGTGTTTGACGCTCACTGATATGTTCCAGCGTTGTTTTATATTTGGCGCGATTCTAACTTACGCTTTGTTGATATTTTTTACCTATGGGCACATAGAACATTCTATTGCGAACACATTGACACAAAAATGAATGACGTACATAGAAAATTAATGTCATGAGAGTGAAATAAGTATAAACTTTCAAAGCGCCGTGCGTCGTCCCGTCACCGATACCGGGTAACAATTTCACCACTTCCCACACTCTTGCGGGCGGGCCGCATCATTATTCTACGCTTATATTCATATCACCGTGTTGGGAATTTCATTGCGAGTCCATTGATACCAAAATTAACGCTGTAGAATAAGTGTGGAGGTGATTACAATCCCAAGAGTAAAAACATTTTGTTGCTGATGGGCGCTCACGGCGAGTCATCTTCGTAGTTATTTATTTGGTGCTGGTATCCCTATACGTTTCGTGACTTTTTTTACTGATGTTCTTCTAGAGAATTTTATTGCGAACACGTTGGTACCAAAATGAAATACGTAGCATGAGAACTAAGGTCAGAAGAGTAAAAAGAGTATACACATTTTTGTTTTTACGCTTAAGCGATAAAAACGCTGCGCGCACATTCGGTTGGCTGAGTGACCTTTGCGGAAAGCGCGAAAGTGTTAAGTACAGGAGGAAGCAAGTTACACTATCCATAATGGTTCTTCCTGCTCTATATATCCACACGACGTCAAATAATATTAGAAAGAAACTTAACTTATGGGAATTGAGTGGCAACTTCAAAGAGCACCTAGCATAAAAATTCTTTGTGGATGACCCATCTCTGCTTGCCTGGAGGATGGAAGTTTCCCAGAGTGCTTTCTGAGAAATGCTCAGGAAGCTAATGTTTGAACAGGGAGCAAATAAATGAATAACAGTCATATGTCCCTCCAATATGCCTACTGTCACCTATTTTCACCACAAAGGTCATTCCAACTTTCCATTGACATTTGGGTGGCGAGGATATCAATGCGATGTATACA